AGACCAGATGAGCCAGTTTATCGATGTGGGTGGTGCCAGCAGATCCATCCAGTGCAGGGTCTAAAAAGTATCTTAGGTTTTACAATAGCGATGTTATCCCCCTGAGCAACTGGGGAGGTTTGGAATCTTGCGGCCTCTGGCTGCATAACTCCTAAGCCATAATTTCTAATCTTGTGGCTAATTTGTTAGTCCTATATTCAGGAAAAGGCTATTATCATCTTTGTTTCAATGTTAAACTATGAACTATGTTAGTTTAGCCTATGCCCAGGAATGAACAAGGACAGCTTGAAGGTTAGACGCAAGATGGAGTTGGTTTCATCAGATCTCTTTCACTGCCATAATTTTCTCACTGTGATAATTTTTGCAAAGGCAAAAATTTCACTTTTGAAAAATTCACATCACATATAGAATTTTACGTTTGTGGCATTGGTTTATAGTTTATGGTTTTCCAGAAATATAGGTTGAAAAGAAAAAACATTCCCTGGATAATAGTGGCCATATTTGTCAACCTAAAAATAAAGAGATAAAGGATAAAATTTTCAACACCTTCCAGGTATAAAAGACAGTTTATGAGATATAGTTTGCATGTCTAAATGTTTTACTTAGGGGGTATTTTAATGGTTCTCACAGACAGTGGCACACAATATCTGAAATTATGGCCGTTCTGGAAAATCTGGAATGTATAGTCAACATGCAGTAGAGGTTCCCAACTTGTCATTAAACCAAAACACAACATTAAAGCTTGTCTTTCTAAATGCCACTTCCCAAGCTCCTTTTTCTACCACTGTCCCAGGTGATAGCGAAATGTCCTCAGTAATGCTATGTAGTTTGCATAATTAAGTTCTTTCTTTTTAGATTTAGGCAGAGCTCTTTGTTTTCCAGGTGAAATGTCTAATTCATTTTAAGCATGTTTTAAATTAATTAACTTTTTGGTGAGGCTGGGCCAGGGTGACCAGATAGCCCGAGTCCCTGTCATGAGCAGAATTGTTAGCCTGTACCTCTATAAAATTTGTTCGGTGTTTAAAAATCCTTCAGATAAAATAGCTTGATCATTTGTATATCTCCCCTTACAAAGCACCTTAAGTCCTTATGTGAATTTCAGAAAGTTCTTCCTCAGGATAGTCCTGACCTTATAATGAATTGCCAACAGTAGTTTATTCACAATTATTTATTGAATACATGATAGACAGGAGCTGGACAAGCTATACCAGGAACACAGGGATACAGAGAAAAACCGTGAGGGTCCCTGACTTCGGGGCTTCAATGGTGGAGTTGGAGAAGGGGAGGTCAGTCAAGGTCAACCAGGTGATTGTAACGTGTGTGACCCGCATTAGATAACGCAAGTGTCATGGTGAACCTAGACTTGGGAGGCCAAGAAAAGTATGCTAGATAAATGTCATGTTTAGGCTGATATTTGAAGAAGAAGAATTAGCTCGGCGGGTCAGACAAATAACTTAAATCTATAACACACACACCACTGTGGAGCCCCGTAGCCCAATGACTTTCCCGCCAGAAGCTGCATCACAGTTAAACAGATTCCATTGTTAGGATAGCTGAAGATTCTCTCTCTCTCTCTCTCTCACACACACACACACACACACACACACCCCACAACACTGTCTGGGTTGTGGATTGTTCCTTCAAAAATTTTTTTCTATTTTTTTATAAACAATCTGTGAAGAACCAGAACACTCATTTTTATCTGTGTGGCAAGTTCCAACTTGGCTGAATTGAACTGCAGCTGATAGAGAATGCATTTTCTGCTTTCTGGGTGATTGCCATTTTAACCACCGGATGAAGGAGATGGAGTGAGTCTCCGGAGGCCCGTGTGTCCATCAGGCCCCCGTCTCTTCATGACGGCTTCTCCCTGAAGTCTGTGCTCTCACAGGAAGGAAGCCAGCATGCTGGGTGAAAGGCTGCCTGGGCAATTGGAGACTCTTTTGACCACATTCTTTTTTAAAATTTGGACTCTCCAGGGTTTCCTGTCAAAGACTTAATTTTCAATGAAGGGAGGTTTATACATAAAACATGAATGAGTGTTTGAGACATTTATATTAAGGTTGGGGAGAATTAATTTGAATAATATTTGGCATAAATCTGCTGTTACAGAAGCAGGAAAAGATGGCCCAAAAAGAAAGGAGGATTTTGTTTAACTGCCTCTGAAATTTCATCTGTTTACCTCAGCGTTTAAAAAATTATCTGACGCTTAGTTGGTTCTTTATCATATTTTCCAGATTTTTATTTACCCCTGCAGTTGAGAACTTGTGATTTGTTGTGGAATATTGAGACACACAGAAAATACTTTGGTTACATACTTGTTTCCCTGAAAGAATCATGATTTTATTATTTTTGTAAAAATGACATAGGTTTTCTTTAATTTAAAAAGAATAAGAGGAAATAAAAATCATTCAGAATACTGTACCCAGAAATAGCCATCATTAATATTTGCCAGACATCATTCTAGACATCTATATATTTCTGTAGTAAGAGAATGAGAGGAATTAAAAGAATATAAAATAAAATGTGTCATATATTGTATGAAATTGTATTTTATTTGAATGAACAGAAGAATAAAACTGAAGTGAAACAAAAATAATTGGTGAAATTGATACTTTCTCAAAATAAGAAATTGATGATCACATTTTTCTTTTTTTCTTTCTTTCTTTTTTTTTTTTGAGACAGAGTCTCACTGTTGCCTGGCTGGAGTGCGGTGGTACAATCTCAGCTCATTGCAACCTCCAACTCCCAGGTTCAAGCGATTCTCCTGCCTCAGCCTCCCAAGCAGCTGGGATTACAGGCACCAGCCACCATGCCCGGCTAATTTTTGTATTTTTAGTGGAGATGGGGTTTCACCATGTTGGCCAGGCTGGTCTCGAACCCCTGACCTCAGTTGATCTGCCCAGCTCAGCCTCCCAAAGTGCTGGGATTGCAGGCGTGAGCCATCGTGCCCAGCCCCAACTTTTATATTTCGTTCTTACCCATACTCCCAAGACTGCTTAATCCAATTCTGTATCCAACAGAATACCAACTCAACCTAGCTCCTAATCATGGCTTCTTTACTCTTCCTTTTCACTTTCTTTTGGTTGGGTGAATTTCATTGCCAACTCATGTCTTGATTATTTGCATGCTGGAGAATGTATGGTTCAGATAGCTAAGAGAGAAATTCACATTTAGAGTCACATGGGGATTCTGATATCATTTCCTCTCTGTTCTTGACTTGGGACTCACATAGGTCAGGGATTTTTGCCGATTGAACCATACTATGGCTTCTAACCAGCATTTAGACATTTAAGGAACTATAGGACTCCTGGTCACTTCCTCCTCACCTTCCTGTACCTATTACTCCCCAAACCCTTCTGAGAAAGCACCTTAAACCAACTATCCTTTTCACATTTTTTTTGTTTTGTTTTGTTTTTAAGATGGTGTCTCACTCTGTCACCCAAGCTGGAGTGCAGTGGCGCGATCTCAGCTCATTGCAACCTCTGCCTCCCAGGTTCAAGCAATTCTCGTGCCTCAGCCTCCTGAGTAGCAGGGACTACAGGCACCTGCCACCATGCCCAGCTAATTTTTGTATTTTTAGTAGAGACGGGGTTTCACCATGTTGGCCAGGCTGGTCTGGAAGTCCTGACTTTGGGTGATCTGCCCACCTCAGCCTCCCAAAGTGCTGGGATTACAGGCGTGAGCCACCATGCCCGGCCCCTTTTCACATTTAAAGTTACTGTCACAGTTTTATGTTACCAGCTCCTCCCCGCTGGCTTTAGAGCAGGTCATCAGTAGCTCATCGAGGTTACTTCCAAAGGTGCTGGACCTTCAAAAGCCTGTTATATCTTCAAATTGGAACCCAGTGTGGGGTACAAGTGACTTTTTTGGTTATTAGCTTGTAAGAACTTTTTCCAGTGACAATTTTGACTACAAAAACAAAAATCTGACTGGGCGCAGTGGCTCACACCTGTAATCCCAGCCCTTTGGGAGGCTGAGGTGGGCAGATCATCTGAGGTCAGGAGTTCGAGACCAGCCTGGCCAACATGGAAACCCTGTCTCTACTAAAAATATAAAAATTAGCCAGACAAGGTGGTAGGCGCCTGTAATCTCAGCTACTTGGGAGGGTAGGTAGGAGAATTGTTTGAATCCAGGAGACGGAGGTTGCAGTGAACCAACACGGTGCCACCGCACTCCAGCCTGGGTGACAGAGTGAGACTCTGTCTCAAAAAAAAAAAAAAAAAAAAAAATCAAGGTAGTAGAAGAGGAAGATAAAAAATGAGTAGGAAAAAAGTTGAAGTCAGGATTGGAAATAACCTCACTCTAAATTTTTTTTTTTTTTTTTTGAGACAGAGTCTCGCTCTGTCTCCCAGGCTGGAGTGCAGTGGCGCGATCTGGGCTCACTGCAAGCTCTGCCTCCTGGGTTCACGCCATTCTTCTGCCACCACGCCTGGCTAATTTTTTGTATTTTTAGTAGAGACGAGGTTTCACTGTGTTAGCCAGGATGGTCTCGATCTCCTGACCTCATGATCCACCCGCCTCGGCCTCCCAAAGTGCTGGGATTACAGGCATGAGCCACCGCGCCCGGCCCTCACTCTAAATTTTATGGTGTCTGTGAATCTATAATTCATATATCCCAAGTTTTCTTTCTTTCTTTCTTTCTTCTTCTTCTTTTTTTTTTTTTTTTTTTTTTTTTTGAGACAGGGTCTCACTCTGTCACCATGCTGAAATGCAGTCGTGTGATCTCAGCTCACTGCTGCCTCAACCTCCTGGGCAGCACAAGTGATCCGCCTACCTCAACCTCCTGAGTAGTTAGGGCTACAGGTCTGTGTCATCATGCCGGCTAATTTCTTATTTTTGTAGTGATGGGATCTCGCTACATTGCTCAGGCTGGTCTCGAGCTCCTGGGCTCTGCCTTAGCCTCCCAAAGTGCTGAGATTACAGGCATGAGCCACTGCCACCAGTCCCAAATTTTCTTAGTCCCAATTTCAATTATTCTATGTTCATTAGAATAACAGATGTTTAAAGTGTGATCTCTTTATGTGCCAGTGAGGGAATCAAGTGAGAAGTGGTCATCCAAGGATCACTTATCCTTTGTCACAATGTTGAAATCCTACAGTGAAATCATGACTGGAAATTCTTCTGAGGCTCCATGAAATCTTTTCTTGCACAGCGTCTATATGAATGTGCCTGCAGCACTCTCCTGCTTTTCTCACCTGCTGCCCCTGAGTTCTCATTTACTAACCCCTCAACAACATCCATTCTTCTGAAGCAGATTCCTTGAACCTAGAATGATAGGGAGAACTTGATGTAGTCTAAGCAGATCTTCCTATGATAAGGCTGACATTTAAATTACTTTTTTTAAATAAGGAAAATAATGAATCTCTCTCCTGGGGAGAACTTATAAAGCAAGATCTCTTACAGGCCTTCAGTTTCCCAGGCCTTATTGATATGTAAGCTAATTTTAGGTGGATATGACAGTTTTTAACATTTTAATAGTCATGCTTTTACTTAATGTATATTAGAAATATATATCTAGAAAAGTGATAATGATATGAAGTTTCATGTTACAAAATAAAAGATAGTATATAGATAATATGCAGATATGGCAAAGAGTTATGAGGATGATGTACAAATGACTAAAGTTTCAGAAATCAGAAATACATAGATATGGCCAAAATTGCACAGATGTGCAACAGGAGAACCAGGAAATAAGCAAATGTAAAAGTCAGAAACCTACTTAAATTATGCTTGTTACAAACTTGGATTTTTCCCTATTGAAATCTGTAGTCTGATACAATAGCGCACATCTGTAGTCCCAGCTACTTGGGAGGCTAAGGTGGGAGGATCACTTGAGCTCAGGAGTTGGAAGCCAGCCTGAGCAACATAGCAAGACCCTGTCTTAGAAAAAAAAAAAAACAAAACTACAATGCGATGATTCTAAGTCGGGGTTATCCACCAATACATACATGATAAGCTTCATATGCACCATGCATTCTCAGGGAAATACATGATTCCTGTGCTTCTCTGTAACTCGACCTCTTGCTCTACCACTCCAGAAGATACCTTGGAAGGCAACCAAATGAAAAATGTTATAATAAGAATCATTATTCCATCTGGGTGCAGTGTCTCATGCCTGTAATCCCAGCACTCTGGGAGTCTGAGGCAGGTGGATCACTTGAGGTTAGGAGTTCAAGACCAGCCTGGCCAACATAGTGAAACCCGTCTCTACTAAAAATACGAAAATTAGCTGGGCATGGTGGCACATGCCTGAAATCCCAGCTACTCAGGAAGCTGAGGCAAGAGAATCACTTGAACCTAGGAGGCGGAGGTTGCAATGAGCCAAGGTCACGCCACTGCACTTCAGCCTGGGCGACAGAGTTGAGAATGTCTCAAAAAAAAAAAAAGAAAAAGAAGATGCATTTTCCACTCTAATTCGTTTTTGCAATGTGCAAACTATTTACAAATAGATACTTTAACTCTTACTAACATTTTTCAGCACACCCTATGACTGCTCACCACCTGATTGCCACTTGGCAGAGCATAAGCATGCTTGAGAAAGAATGGTCTTACAAACCAGTTTGGGTCTGAGATACCATGTGTAGTGACCCCTGTTGGGGAATTTGCGCTGTGGGAGTGCTTTCCTTATTGCCTCTGGCCTAATAATGTCCTCTTTTCTCTTTAACACATACAGACTGTTGGGCGGGAGCTGCTGCTCCATCTGATTGACTATCTTGTAACCAGTGATGGCAAAGACCCTGACATCACAAATCTGATCAATAGTACCCGGATACACATCATGCCTTCCATGAACCCAGATGGATTCGAAGCCGTCAAAAAGCCTGACTGTTATTACAGCATCGGAAGGTAAAGAGGGGCTGGTCTGTCTGTACTTCAAAACAAGCAACGCAACAAAAAGGCTCCCGTCAGGCACCTGTTGGCCTTGGCAAGAGGAGTTGTGTCATGGTGAGAGCCCTCAGCCGGTGTCATGTCGCTGATGTGCCAAAGCTCAAGGCACATCAGGGTTGCCCCTGGCTTGCAGGAAGAAATGCAAATAAGGCTACTTTGCACGGGTGCCCGCCTAGCCGCTCCATCTTCATTTGCCACTCCCTCTCCCTCCCCTGCCTCCTCCCCTCGGGGCCTCCTTCCTGGAACTACCAGGTGCTTTCTCACCTCAGCGTTTTACACACACCATTTCCTCCCCCTGCCTAAACAGCATTTCCTCCAAGACTCTTTCTCCCGACCTGTCGTACACTAGATTCCCTGATAAACTCTCAGATCACCTGGCACTTTACTGTCAGAGCACAACTTTTAATATCTGATTTCTTGCTTCGTGTCTCTCTCCCCACTACACTGCAAGCTACCTGCAGGCAGGAATCCTGTCCATTACGTTTGTCGTCGTTAGATCCCCAGTGCCTGGCAGAGTACCCAGGCCCTTGGTAATGACTGGTCGATTTATTAGGCCAGTAGTCCAAGAACTAACCATAACCAAGAGGGGGTCTTGAAGAAGCTCTGATTTAAATGGTTTATTTTGTTTCAAGCTGCCTTGGGAGGTTTGGAATTTCTCAGATGTCTAATGTACATTCATATGTATGCAGTTTATACATATGTGTTTGCTTTACGAAAGCTGAACAAAATCTCACCACTTGATTCCCTCCAATTTTAAGTTTTTCTAGCATATTTAAACATGGCCGTTCCACATTTCACAAATACTTTCGTGTAATGTGTTTACTGTTGTTTCTGTTATCAGTTGCCACTTAATGAACCACCCCAAAATTAGCGACTTAAAGCAACAGCCTTTTTCTTTACTGTTGATTCCGTAGGTCAGGAATTTGGGCAGGGCAGAGCAGGGATGGCTATTCTCTCTGCCACAGGTCTGGGGCTCAATTCTGGTCTTTCTGAGACAATTTACCTGGAGCCATGGACTCTCCGTGGGCTCTCTACGTGGCTACTATTGGGATCTCAGGGTCCTAAAAGGGAGCATCTAAGAGCAGAAGTCCCAAAATACAAACACTTACCAAACCTCTGCCTGCATCACAATAGCTAGTATCTCATTGGTGAGAGCAGATCACAAGGGATGGGATGCCACGGGGTGTAAGTGCCAGGTGTGGGTCATAGCAGGCCACCAGGGCAGTTATCCACCACACCCATACTCACATTTGGAAAGACACCTGGAGCCTAAACCAAAGGGCAAGACACTGTAAGAATCCACTCCCTCATGCCCTATCAATAAGCCCTAAAATATTCTTTCTTTTAAAGGGAAAATTATAACCGGTATGACTTGAATCGAAATTTCCCTGATGCTTTTGAATATAATAATGTCTCAAGGCAACCTGAAACTTTGGCAGTCATGAAGTGGCTGAAAACAGAGACGTTTGTCCTCTCTGCAAACCTCCATGGTGGTGCCCTTGTGGCCAGTTACCCGTTTGATAATGGTGTTCAAGGTAAGCAGGTACGGGCCCGGGTCTGGCTTCCTAAGTCCAGAGTGGGGCTGAGACTCTCTGCCTCTGGGTGGGGAATCAGCTCTCCCTTCCCCACTTAACTTCTCCGGCACGGTGAAAAGAGCTTCGTGTTCCCAACCCTAGCCATCCTTCCTGGAATTCTTCAACAGCAGATGGGCAGTGTGGCCGAACTGACAACCCACAGCTGGACATGCATCAGTGAATTAGTGAAATTTAGATTCTAGAAAATACGATCTAGTCAGATTTTGATTCTCTGACAAGAGACAACATGGCTAAAATAACATAAGACAGGAACAACTCATTTTTTTTTTTTTTTTTGCTAATCATATGGACAATAATTGTTGACTCTTCTTAAAACTCTGTGGGATGAGGACCCAAAATATTACAGTAGCTTTAATTCACCCCCATAATACCTAATGAAATTGTCTTTACCTCCAGAAATTAGCAAGAGTGACTAAGAGGACACTTAATTTTTAAGCTGATTTAGGAGTTTGGATTTGTATCTGACTTATTTGGGGGCTATCACCTTGCATATGTTTATTATAAAGTAGAAAGAAAAATAAAGGAAGCATTCATGGAGGTGGGTAAAGGATTTCTCTCTAGGGAAATTGGAGCATCGGTGTGTGATGTGATTATGTCTTCGCTAATATGGTGTTTGTGTTTCCTCTTACTCTTACTGCCCCTCTTGCAGCAACTGGGGCATTATCCTCCCGCAGCTTAACTCCTGATGATGATGTTTTTCAATATCTTGCACATACCTATGCTTCAAGAAATCCCAACATGAAGAAAGGAGATGAGTGTAAAAACAAAATGAACTTTCCTAATGGTGTTACAAATGGATACTCTTGGTATCCACTCCAAGGTGAGTTTCTCTTCATTTCTTCCATTCCCCTTATTGCCTTCACCCAGAAGTACCAGCTGGTTTATTTTGATCCAGCAGTTGTTAAAAGAACTTTAGGCACAATAAGCCCTTCACTGTGTCCTTATCAGCTGATATCATAAGGGCAGTGGGTGACTGATCGCTTGAGAGATGCTCAGACATGTTTCTCATTACCAAGGGCCGCCTTCATTCAGTCAGTCACTTATTCTGTGTCTGCCTACTGTGAGCCAGGAATTGTACCAAGAAAGATGAACAAGACACACACCTCACCCTGGAATTGAACAGGGGAGACAGACACGCAGATAAGTAATGGTGATAGCAGTGTAATTAGAATAAAAACAGATTTAGAAAAGGTGCAGTGTACCCCAAGGGTGCGCAGAGCCAAAACACAGTAAGGAGTAGTGAAGACCTTGGAGAAATGTGATACTTACATCCCATCTAACAGGGACAGCTGCTACTAGATCTAGCTAATTATTGCCATGCAGCCTTGGGGAGCCAATACTGCCAGATCTTGCAGTTTGTAAAAAGAAGCTGGATTTGTACATGAAGTATCATGATTTTAAAGCCATTTTGCAGGCTCAACAAAAGAGCTCTTCAGACAGGATACAGCGGGAGGAGGGCCCCCAGTTCTTCACCCTTGGAATAAGACGGCCAGGTAAGGGGCAGGATGAGATTGCTGTGTAGGCAACATGGAAGGAGAGAGATTCTTATTAGAGGGAATAATATAAACAGAAACCCGGGCTAGGAGGGACCTAGGATGGAAGGACAGGAGGAAAGACGGTGGACTGGAACTGGATTTCCATGCCTCAGGGGAAAACATTCCCTTTTAGACTAGTTAGCCTGACCCCACCAACAGCAAGCTGCAGCGTGCATTTCTGCATGCAGGCCACTTCCAAAGGTGCCTTCCCTAATTGTCACTTTGGATACACAGGCTTTCAGGTAATCTTGCAGCACAAGCTGGTATTTTTATGCCTGGGTGGCTCTCTGTCAGTTTTCCAGGTAATATAAATAAGCATAGACCACAACTGATAGGCAGTAGGTTCAGGCAGCATTCTAAACGTCTCTCTCGTGTCCAAGATACAGCCCCCTCTCCTACCTTAGGGCTCCTGCATCGTCCCTGCTCGCCACAATTTATAGCTAAGAAAGGGCCCATCCTGTCCAGTGGCCAAGCTATCCTTCATGTTCACTGTCTAACTTTCTAAGGCAAATCCAGATGTGTAGGAAATTGGCTAGGAGCGATTGCTGCTGGTAATTGTTCCCAAGTGTGCCTGTGTGTGAGCTATGTATCCTTCTCAGACGAAAAACAGGTGAAGCCAGCTGCCTTGAGGAGCCCAGAAGAATGTGCCTGGCCTGGCCTGGATGTTTTGTTGGCCAGGCCTGACCCGCCTTATCCAGAGCTGCACTCTCCACGCTTGGCAGTCTCAGTCCTGGCTATTTGCTAGGGATCCATAATGCATGCCTGTTTTGCTATTTAAATTTTTTCCACCTGAGACACGTCCAGCCACAGGCTTTGTCTTGTTTTCTTTCCTCTCTTCTTTTTCCTTCTACTACTTTTTGGTGAAAATGAGGTCAGAGAGAAATACAAAACCTGCAAGGTAAGTAAAGGAAATAGAAAGGACAGAGAAATTCTTCCTGGCTGGAATCTGGGCCGACTGGCCTACATAGATATTACTTAATATTTAAGTAATATTTTTATATCATATTTTGACCACTTTCTTAGCATTAAATTTTTTTTAAAGAAAAAAGCTCTTTTATTTTTGTTTTATTTTTAGAGATGGGGTCTTATCATGTTGTCCAGGCTGGCCTTGAACTCCTAGCCTCAAGCAGTCCCTCCCACCTTGGCCTCCCAAAGTGTTTGGATTACAGGCATGAACCACAGTACCTGGTCTAAAATTTTTTTCTAGTTCAGTGCTTCCAAAATATCCTGATGAAACTGAGAATACATATTTTCTTGGGCAGGTATCAAGTGTAACAAATTAAAATCTGTCAGAAACTACTTCCTCAAAAGTTACTATATTTCGTCAAATCCAAGATACTGTTGATTATAAAACCCAGTGTACCACCAAGAAAGAAAATAAAATATTTTCAGTTAAACTAAAGACATGATGTTTTTAGCCATAAAAATGTTTAAGACACATCCCAATTCAGAGATATTAAAGTATAAAAAATGTTGCATCTTAGGCCAGGTGCAGCAGCTCACACCTGTAATCCTAGCACTTCGGGAGGCCAAGATGGGCACATTGCCCAAGCTCAGGAGTTCGAGACCAGTCTGGGTGACATGGTGAAACCCCGTCTCTACCAAAATAAAAAAAAAAATTAGCCTGGCGTGGTGGTGCACGACTATAGCCCCAGCTACTCAGGAGGCTGAAACATGAGAATTGCTTGAACCCGGGAGGCAGAGGTTACAGTGAGCTGAGATCGTGCCACTGCGCTCCAGCCTGTGCAACAGAGCAAGACTCCATCTCAAAAAAAAAAAAAAATGTTGCATCTTAGAAAATGTAAAATGAAGGCCACCACGGTGGCTCATGCCTACAATCCCTGGGCGACAGAGCAAGACCCTGTCTCAAAACAAACAAACAAACAAACAAAATAGCCAGGTGTGGTGGCGCACATCTGTAGCCTCAGCTACTTGAGAGGCTGAGGCAGGAGGATCGCTTCAGCCCAGAAGTTTGAACTTACAGCGAGCTGTGATTGCACCACTGCATTCCAGCCTGGGTGATGGAGTGAGACCATGTCTCTATTTAAAAAAAAAAAAAGGAAAAACAGAAAAAGAAAGTACGAAATGATTATAACCCTTTGAAAGCAGGGGACCAGAGGAGAGAATTGGAAAGTCAGCATGAGCAGTGGCAGCATGGGCTGCACAGGGGGCTGGGCCTTTCACCTCTGAGAGGCAGTGCAGCATTCTTTCTTTGATCACCAGGAGCACTCTGGCATATTGGGAAGCCCACAGGGGCTGGCGGAAGGTGGCCTGCACTCCAGTGTCTGCCATTTACTGGCCGTTAACCCCTGGGCACTTTGTGCTTAACATCTGTGATCACGTTTCCTCATCTGTAAAGTAGGGGCAGTTGCTGTGAGGATTAAATGAGCTGATACGAAGCACTTCATACGGTACCTGGCAATAGTGAATGTTGGCCATGATTCCCCCAAATTAGTGTGCTTAGCTTTACTTAGTAAGTGTATTTATAAAGGATTTGTAGAAATATTTTTAAAGGAATCTTATTCTAGCTTATATCCATTTAAAATGTAATTTAAGAAACAAATGAAATTCAAAGAATCACTTTTGTGATGTAGGATTTCAAAAAATAAAAACACAAAAGGACGCTTCCTTCACCCCTCACTTAATTTTGGTGCACAGTTGAACTTCAGTCAGCTCTGATCCAGTTACCCATATGGGGATATTTAGGATTGTCTGGTCATGCCTGGGTAATAAAATGTCAAGCCCTGATTTTACAAGCTAATGTGTCAAATTCATCTTTTCCTGTTTACATGTAGCTGTCTGATTCACTTGTCCCCAAAAGGCACGTGAAACTTGGCTCCACTCCAATTTTAGACCCTAACAAAAATTAAATATGCTTGTGTTTAGGTGGAATGCAAGATTACAACTACATCTGGGCCCAGTGTTTTGAAATTACGTTGGAGCTGTCATGCTGTAAATATCCTCGTGAGGAGAAGCTTCCATCCTTTTGGAATAATAACAAAGCCTCATTAATTGAATATATAAAGCAGGTGCACCTAGGTTTGTAAAATCTTCTTATTAATTCCCTAGTAATACAAAATAGAGCATCTGGCAAGACCTCTGGGTTGAGTAAA